TTGTATATTTGTATATTTGTATATTTGTATATTTGTATATTTATATATTTATATATTTATATATTTATATATTTATATATTTATATATTTATATATTTATATATTTATATATTTATATATTTATATATTTTATATTTTATATTTTATATTTTATATTTTATATTTTATATTTATGTATTTTATATTTATATATTTACACGAATTAATATAAATATAATTTAGTTGTAAATTATTATTAGAATATCCTAATAGTTTAGTGGTTGAAGTATCAGTTTTCAACTTTAAGATACTGGGTTCGATTCTTACTAGTAACAATTCTTTTAGTTTAATATAATTTATCTACGGATAGTAATTCCGTAGGTAATTACCTACGGAATTACCCACGGATAATATCCGTAGGTAATGGATAATTACCTATGGATAGAATTCCATAGGTAATATCCGTAGGTAATGTACACTTTACCTACTGAATTATCCACGGATTACATTACATACGGATAATATCCGTAGGTAATGGATAATTACCTACGGATAGAATTTCATAGGTAATATTCGTAGGTAATGTACAATTTACCTACGAATTTTCATCCGTAGGTAATATCCGTAGGTAATGTAAAATTTACCTACGGATTTTTATTCGTAGGTAATGTAAAATTTACCTACGGATTTGTATCCGTAGGTAATATTCCGTAGGTAATAGGCTTTTTTTTGTAGTGTATCCTTAGTTCGTATTGGTCCTTATTTATTAATTTATATTTATATTATTAGATTATTGTTTAAATTTTCTTGAAGAATAAAATATTTTATTTATGAAAATTTGATAACATTGAATATGAAGGTTGGGCCTTGGGGATTGAAATGAGTAAATATCACTCATGAGTAATTAATTTTGGGCTCATTTATCCCGATTAGTCATTACAAAAATCAATTCAAATCTTCATAATATAAAATAAATGGAATATGTTAATGAAGTTGAAAAATGACTTTATATATCATTTTGAGATTATATTATTTTACATATATAATAATTGTTCTTACTTTCTTATTGTTATCTTTTGTATATATTATAACTAAATATCAACCTAAATAGATGACGCATCAAGATGGAAAATAAATATAATCGATAAATTAGCCACTTTTAAAAGAAAAATATTTATTAATTTTAATAATTGTTTCTGATATAGAAATAATATAAACTTATAACATTTATGTTTTACAAACTCCATAGAACATCACAAAATATTATTTGGTTTTAATTTAATGTATAAAATTTGAAACAAACCATGATTTTGGTCGATCTTGCGTTTTTTATTCTTATAAATTATTAAATATTTGATAATATTTGTGTTGTTTATTATTTTATTATTATTATTATTATATTCATAATTTTAATTTTTTATTTATAAATAAATTATACAATCTTACAATTAAAAATTTTTGTCCAAAATTATTATAATATATTTAATAAGCATAAACAAATTGTAAATCAAATATAATCGAACTATAAAACCGGTTTTAAGATATATAATCATATATTTATTAATTGATAATTAATTTTAAAAATACAATGTTATATTAAATATAATAACTGATCTGGTTTGGTCCTTAATTTTGAATTTGAAATATTAATCAAACTAGATGGTTTAGGGAAAAGTGAATCCAACAAATATAAAAGAAAAATTGGTCTTCATCGCATTTTGATTTTGTGATTAATTTTTTATTATTTTTTTAGATTGATTCAATGAACCCCTTACTAAATTGGGTCATAATCTCACAATAAAACCATCCCTAATTTTATTTTCATTCTAATATAATTCTTACATATATCCTTTAAATATTTCAAAGATATATGAATTTACATATCAATTTATTAATTGATCTCCAGATTCTATTTTGTCTTTGCAACACTTTGAACTTTATATATAATTAAACTTCAACAAAATCCTACAATTCCGTCGGTAAATATCCGATCTGATATACTGCGATTTTCTTGTAGTGCCTTAATCTTAATAATTTAATTTTAACATATTATTCTATCATATTTGTAGAGCATAATTCACACATATTAAATTAAAAAATTATAATGAGAAATTGTATACAATGCTTTAAATCTTATATCCTATTAAATTTTAATGTAATTAATTATTATATATTACAAGTGAAACTCTTCATCTTAATAATTTAACTATAACTTAGTATGAGAAAATTTTGTGCCTACAACAGTTTTTGAACCTTATACCCCATTAAACTTTAGAATAATAAGTTATATTGTATGTTTTACAACGGTTTTGGACCTTATATCTCATTAAACTTTAGAGTGATAAGTTATCTTATGTTATAAGAGAAACTCTTAATCTTAATTATTCAATTATAATTTACTACTTTATTGTATTTTACAAAAATACAAATTAAATTACAAAATCATATTAAGCATAATTTACAAATCAAATAATAAACAAGCATTAGATATGAGTTCATTTTACGCAAATTCCCGAAAAGCATAAATACATAATAAATTAATAAATATTAATTTAAAATAACGAGAAACAATAATAATGCGACCATATTAGAAAAATCTTAATAAGGTTTAGGAGTTACCTCAATTGTAACAAAAAAGTATAATTTATCTGATGCGAAATTTTTCTTGTCACCGCTGTAACTTTCAATGGAATGGAAAAGATAAATCAAGAACGATTCTTACATTATACAATTCAAAAACAAAAACTCATAAACGTCGATATTATTACATATCATGCCACAGTGTGACATAACCGCATTCAAAATTACATACAAAATTAACTGCAAATTTTTATAATGGATGGACCAAAACAAAACGAAAAAATAAAAATAAAAATAGAAGAGTATTTTTGTTTTCAAAATTTTATTAAAAGTCATGTACATATCACGTGATGTAAAAAAATAATGGACTTAATATTATTTACACGAAAAAAGGTGTATATATAAACGAGGTCAGAAGGTTAAGAGATTTTTTTTACATAAAATAAAAGAGATGTATATGTAACTAGAATTTTTTTTTTTTAAATTGAAGTTGTTATAATTAACTCTTTGTTTTAACAATTTCAAAGAGACATAAGAAGTCAACTATTCTATATATACATAAAAAATAAAAAGGAGGCTATAACTGCAAGTGTTAGTTATTCAAACATTGTAAATAAAGTGAGGTTGGAAGTACGAAAAAAGTTGGCGATCTACCAAAACGTGTCATTAATGAGTATGACACGAGAAATAAAGGGTTATATGTAGGCGTTAGAAAGAAACAAGATCAGTGTTTTGAAAAGAAATTACTACTTATTATTTTGGTACGTAGTTTAATGAGACTTTTTTATATAACTAAACTTACCATTAATTTTTATAGATTAATATCATTTATGGAAGTATTTTATATTAATATCAATTCTGAAATTTTTTTATATTTTAAGTAATAAATATTAGCTCATTTAAAGTTATGGTGGATTTGCTGGTCCTGACTTGATGTGGCTATCGTTTAACAATTATAGATGGTAAGTTTGTGTACTTATTTCTTTAAGTTTGTTAAATATTACAATAAAAAATTAAATACAAATTTACAAAAGGACTATATTAAAATTTATGATAAAATTAAATAGATCTAATTAGTTCATTTAAATTCTGTCTATTTTGTAAAAATTGTTTAAATTTGTTAAAAAATTTACTTTTTTATTTTATTTTATGTAATAATTCTTCAATCATGAAAATCTATTATAGAAAAATAGTGTTGATTAATTTAGATCAATTTAACCAATGAGATATAAATTAATTAAATTTATTTTTTATTACAAACTAAGATTCAACTCAAACCAAACCAATCAAATATAACAGTAATTAGTTTTGACGTTGAATCAATAGTTTTGCAATCGGAAAACTTTTTTTTCGAATTGTTTAGTTCAAATTTTGATTTTTTTTATTTCTTTTAAATTTGAATCTATCCAAATCAATGAAAGTTAATTTTTCCTCAAAAGTGTTTAGTCCCACTTCTTCATAAGATTTTTAAAAGGAAAATAATTAAATTAACTTCTTCAAAAATTAAAATTAATTTAATTTATTGGTAAAAAGTGTCTCATATAAATATTTTAAAACTTTAAATTTAATTTAATCATAAATTATTTTTAACTTATTGAAAATTTAATTTCGTTTTCTATATTTTTTCTCTTAATTTTTTTAGAAAGAACATGGATAAGTAGAACTACTTCGTTATGGCAAAGTTACCTTATTAGATTAAAATTATATTAAAACTACAAGTAAAAATTGTTGCTCTTTCTAATTATAAAGGGTATAATTTTTTTAAAAAAAAACACTCTTTTTAAAATATATACATTATATAATTTATTCTGATATATGTTTATTTATTTTATAATAAAAATTTTAAATATTTTTAATAAACTTCGTTTAATAATACACACACACACACACACATATATATATATATACTCACAATTAACTCTTCAACTTTCCTTCCTTTAGTTAGAATAAATTATTTCCCTGCCTTGTTCTTTCTTCTTGTGTTTCAGTACACAGGTTCGTTGATAGTGGTGGTTATTTCGTTTCTTTATGATTTTCTAGATTAATTTTAATTTGCAATGTGGTGTGTTCTACTAACCATTTATCTTTCTCCTTTATGCGCTTTAACCCTCACCATCACTATGTTCCCGTTGAAAGAGAGTAATGAGCTATTAATTTTTGACAAAATGTAGCAAGTTTGTCATCCTTCGTTTCTTGTTTGCCTAGAAAGTTTTGTTCAAGTTATCAACATAACACTCTTCTCGTTTACATTTGTTGTTTTCCATTCTCACGTTTCTGTGTGCTTCAAGTTTCACATTCAACCATAACATAAGTTTTAGAAGTGGTTTTAAGCTTTGTTCCAATCTGACACACTGATTCCTTAATTTGAGGGGTTGTTATTTTCTGAGTTGTTTTGAATTTTGCATGGTTGGAGCGTAGAAGTCAGTGATCTGGTCTGTGACATGGGTGTGGAGAAGGGCGAAGAGATAAAACCTGATGAGGCATGCACGTCAGAGAATCCTGCAGAAACCAGGAGGAAGAAGGAAATGGACGAAGGAAGGGAGAAAGAAAAAGAAAAGACACAGACAGTTCCATTTCATAAGTTGTTTGCTTTTGCAGACTCCACTGACACTCTTTTAATGATTGTTGGGAGCATTGGTTCCATTGGAAATGGTGTGGCTTTACCTCTCATGACATTGCTATTAGGCCAAGTTATTGATAAGTTCCACACTGGTGACCAGAACTCTAACCTACTGGAACAAGTCTCCAAGGTAGAACCATCTCACTAATCTCTATCTCTCAAATTATTATTATTATTATTATTATTATTATTATGAAGGATTTAAATTACTATATTAGATTATAGTAAGTCATGTGTAAATATTAATGCATTTTACCCTCTTTTTTAATTTAGTTATTACGATATGTTTCAATAATAATAATAATAATAATAATAATAATAATAATAATAATAATAAGTGAAAACAATGATCTTATAAATACACAGTAAATTTAAAATGATAAAATGAAATTGAGAAAAATATAATTAATCTTATTAATATGTCATTTTTGTACAAATAAAAATAAATGGATATTTTTTCTACAACATTAATTATTGTCATACATTTTAAGCATAAAATAGTTATTTTTACTGTAATATATGATGATAATAATTGATAAATACAATCGATTTATTGGAACTTGCTAGAAAAAAGCATTTAATAAATGTAGGCGTAGTTTCTTAAGTATTTTAATTGTGGTTCTAAAATTAAAATTTTAAATAGAATTATATTTCTAGTTGTAATTAGGGTTCCTACTTAATGCCCGTCTTGTTTATCCCATTTAATTTTAGGACATCTTATTTTTCTTGGGATTTTCTATAACGTCTTATTTCTCTTGGGTGTTTTATATAAGAGGGGTGATTTTTTTTTAATTTCACCAAAATAAATTTATTTTCAAAAAATTATATTTTATAACACAAACACGATTTTAGCATATATTTTATTTTAATTAAATTCGTGCCATTCACAATTTTAGTTATATTTAATTTTTTAAAAAATAATAATTTATGTAAAAATTATTTATAAATTAATAATATATATACTATAAATATATATTCGTTCTAAATTATATATATATATATATATATATATTATAATATATAATGTTTATATATACATTTCTATAAATTAATTTTATTTAAAAATGTAATTAGTTTTTAAATATACATTTTCACATATTATAAATAATATATATATATATACTTATATTTTTTAAAATATAAATACTAAATTTATTTGTTATATCAATAACTCTAATTTATATTCATTTTAAATTTTAAATAAAATTAATCTGTGATATTTATTTATTATATATTATTAATATTTTATAACTATTTTTTATATAAAAATTATTTAAATATAATTAAAATGGTATTACATAAAATGATTTAAATTATATAATAGTAATTAAAATGGTAATATGTACCACGATTTTAATTTAAAAAAATATTAAAATTATGTTACCTAACACGTTCGCATGTTCCAATAAACTCGATTTAACCTATTTTCATAATTTTATAAGAAGGGATGCAATTTGATAATATGGAAGAAAAATTGACCTTTTTAATAAAAATGTCTCATTTCTCTTATATTTAATGTTATGAGTCTCAGGATGCTGTTAGTATGATATACACAATAAAAAAATGTCACCCAATTTACTATTATTTTAAAAAATTTATTTACGAATTTCATATACGGGTATTTCATCCTATATATTATTGTTAGAAAATAAAACAATTCATAATAAATTAAAATATCAATCAATAATTTTTTTAAGACAACATTTAACATAATTAAATTTTATATATCACTAAATATTTAAAAATAAAATTTTATTTACGTACATATATTTTTAAAACACTATAAATATTAAAATATGTATTATATAATAAAATTCGTAACCCAACCTTTAATAGATAAGAATAATCAACGCATGTTAGTAGATTAGTGAGATTTGTGTTGATTTTGTAAAAAAGTTTTTGTTAGAGGCTGTGATAATCTTTGGGTGCGTGATTGATATAAACGCAGGTTTGTCTTAAATTTGTATACCTGGCACTGGGAGCTGGGATTGGAGGGATTCTACGTAAGTAACTATTTATTATTTATTTATTCATATATTATATATTATATGAAAACTAAAGCCCCTTAATTAATATTCACTTAAGAGATAAGTACCACTAATCTAAATTAAACTATATAATAAAAAATTTAATACAAAACAAAATAATTTTTTAAATCTATTTTAAAAAAATAGTTATAATTCTTTTTAATTTTGAAAACTAAAAAATTGAAAAATTATTTTTAAAATCCTTAATATTAATTTTACTTGATATATATGGGTAAAAACCAAGAAAAAATATTATACACTAACATACTAATTAATATATATATATATATATATATATATATAAACATAATAAAACGCAAAGAATTTATAATAAAATTTGTAACTATTTATTTTAGAACCTTTTTAAATATTCTATTTATAATAAATATTTACTAAAATAACCTTATGTACCACATTTTTACATCACCCGTATGATTATGTATTTTGAGAAATATAAGTTGGCTGACACCAATTTCTCAATTGGGTATTCAATCTTTTCTATTTTTTATTTTTACATATGTTTAGAGGAAATGAGTTTTGAAAATATTATTTTTCAATATTGTATTTATTTGATTTTTCTAAAATTTACTAAACTATTTTTAAAAAATTTAAATAATTAAAATCAATTAAAAAAAAGTTCTATTTTTTATTAAAATAAAATCAATATTTGTAAATAAATTTATATTTTGAATTTTTATATAATTAAGTTTTATAAATAATTGTAGTTAAAAGTATATGATCATTTAATTAATTTTATGTAATTTTTTAGTAAATATGAAATTAAGCAATTAAGTAACAAACCTTTATTAGTTAATATTTAATTGAAATAACAATTTTGACAATAGAGTACACTGTTGCTAATTATTTAAAATGACCAATTAGGCTTTTAATTTATAAAGAAAAAACAATATAACATAAAATGAGTTTAATTTTTACTTAAACTTCTGCCTCCGAGTGGTATAATTTCTTACAAATCCCATAATTATAAATGATATTGTAAAAGCCAAAAATTTATTATATATCTAATTAAACTATAAAAAGTTTATCATAAATAAACATATTTATATAAAAAAATCCTTTTTCATGAAATTTTATTATATAACAGAGCAGGTATTGCGTTGCAGAAAAAATAACATAAAAATAAATAAATAATTTAATCGAGTCTATTGTTCACGAATAGTTATGAATTTTCACGTTTAATGAGAAAACAAAGAGAAAGTTCACCTACCTAGATGAATAATAAATGTTATAAATATAAAAATATGGGTAAGTACATAAGTTTTTTGAGCTGAGTCTAGAATATGACACGAATGAGTTTAGTTTGATTTACCGAGTTCATATCTTCCTGAGTTTAAACTCGAATTTACCAGGTTGAATCTATCGTGGACATAACCTGAGTTTAAAAATCCTATTGCCTTTTTAAGCATATGACTACCTCTGACACATATATTAATGAAGGGGTGTTGTGAAAGGGTTTTTCTTCTTGAAATTAAGCATGTCCGAAATTAGGTAAAAATTTAAAATTCAATTATTTTATCTTTATCATGTCATTTAACTTTGTTAGAAATATAAATTGAGATCAAGAGAGGGATGAATTGATCTTTTGTAATTTTTATAGATTAACAATTTTTAAAATTAAATTAAATAAATATGGATTAACAATTTTCAAAATTAAATGAAATCAATCTTAACTTAAATCAAATAATAACAATCTTAAATACAAGAATATGATTGAAAAGAAAAATAATAACAACAAATTTATACTAGTTCAACTAAATCATCTGGACTACATCCAATTCTTAATAAAATTTGGTTAAGTTTCATTAATCAAAATCAATTTATTACGAACAGAAAGTAGTAGAATTACAATCTACCCTAATAAACACAAACTAGTTCTTAAACCTATGAACTAGCAATCACAAAAAGGCTGACATAGATGTTATGGGTCAATTTTTTTTTTTTTACATCTCTTCATTTTTTCCGTAAAGGAGCCGAATGAAACAAAAGTTTCACGTTCGGTTTTGAATTAGAGACGTTAAATCAAAATGATGAATCAACGTCGACTATAACCCTTAGCCTTCCAAGCTAACGATGCGGGTTCGATTCCCGCTACCCGCTTATATTCTCTATTTATTCCTATTTAAATCTATCTTTTTTCTTCTAGAATGAATCTATAATTATTAATGAATTTGTCCATTATTCATTTTCATTTCTTAATTAAGTTTTAGTTATATATATATATTCAATTGATTTTTCTTTTTTATTCTATTTTTGGATTCTTTTATTCTAAATATTTGATTGATTCTATATATAATTTCTAGAATTCTTTCTATTTGATTCTTTAATCTTTTTTAGTTAATAAGGTTTTTACACACCGAGAATACAAGAAACAAAATGAAAGATTACTATTGTTGAAGAAACAAAGCAATCAAATAAATGTACTAAAGCAAAAATTCAATCTCAATATAAGTTTCTTCAAGAATAAGAACAAAAAGCCTCAAGAACAATTTTTTCAAAGATTTTTAAAGTGTAAAGCACATTTTTCTCTCTGAATGATTCTCAAAAGATTGTTAGATTGATTTCTCAAAGTATATTTAGAATGAAAGAGAGAACCTAATTATATAGGAAAATTCGAAGAGTACTTGATAAGATTAATCAGTTGATTCATCATTTTATCGATTAAAATAACTAGAAGTAGCTTCCAGCACAACAAGTTTAAGTTGATTTAAGCTGATAAAAATGTAATTTAATCAATTAAAAAGATTTTGTCCATTTTTCAAAGACATTTTAATTAATAAAAATGTGATTTAATCGATTAAAAGAATTATGAATGTTTTAACTGATAACACTGATCATGTATTGATTAAAACTGCGAACCAAAAATTTTGCAAAACTCAATCAAGAACATTTTAACAAATTAAATTTTTTCTTAGTTGATTAAAACTACGAACCATGAAGTTCTTTGACTGTTTAAGCAAAATTAACAAATTAAAACAATTAACAGATTAAAAATTATTGAGGCATTTTTTCTTTTTTAAAAGAAAAACTCATGCTTGAAGAAATTATAAGTATTTATACCTAAGACACTTAATGCAAACACACTATAAACCATAACAACAAATCTTTTTTAACAAGTCTTCATTTTGACTTTATCAAATCTTCCAAGTCTTCCAAGATCATTCCCACGATCTTCATCAAACTTGAGCTTTCTTCTTCAACTTTCTTCTCCAAGTGTTTTGTGTTTTCTTTGAGTCTACTTAGGTATGTCCTGATTCCTAAACACACTTTGATCTTTTATAATATCTTTAGCTTTTGGTTTTTCTAGTGATTCCAATGGCTCAACTTATAATGAGCCTTTGGTGGGTGACCATGAGGCCCATCCTATTTGTCACGAATCCATTAGATATGAGAGTTCTTCGAACTCTTCCATGAAAGTAAGGGTTTTTTCTTCCATCGTGGTAGCCATCACTATTACGGTAGTTCCTAGAAAAATAACAACTAGTGTTAGTCCTAGTTTGACTAGGGAAATTTGAAAAGCTAGGTTTTAGCAACCAACATCGCAAGTATAGTTGGGTACTCGGAGAGGTAATGACTTGAGCAACCAACATCTTACTTGAGTGAGAATACACCAAAGACAACCATCATCCTCTAGAGGTCTCTTACATGGGGAGACATTCTCGCTTGAGCAAGAATTGGTTGTAGTCACTCTATCTCATTTGAGAGTATTTTACTTGAGCGCCAAAACTCTCACTTAAGTGAAAAAATGGTTGAAACTGTAACCCCCTTTACAGATTACATTTATTAATTCTAATTTATTATCTAAGTTAGTAATATTTTCAATATTCATAGAAGGTTAATAGAAAATATACTAAGTGAACAATTAATTTAGGTAAGGTTTTATATTAAATCAAGCAATAAGTTCTAGTACAAAGTTTTCAAAATATTACAAGTCATAAAGTTATACTTATATGTTATACAATTCTCATCCTAAGCTCTGGATTTTTGCATCCGACATCTATCTCTTGAATTATGTATTCCTGCATCATACGTCACCAACATCTCGGAATTGAAATATTTATGGGGTTAGACATTTAATTTTATCCACAACAAATAAAGCAAACATTCATACGATAAAATCAACCAATGAAAAATTCCTTCTAATAAATATACAACCGTATATAATTTAATTTAAAAATTAATTATGAGAAAAAAATAAATAAATCATGGAATCATAATAGAGAATATCGTACAAATCATGAATAATTTACAATTTTATCATGCAATATGTTTATGATATGCACATGTGACTCCAAACGTAAAACTTTAAAATCATGCTTTTGACTCAAAATAAAAAAAATTATTTTTGACTCGAGTGCTCCATGGAGACTCATTTGAGTGTTTAGTGGAACCAGAGCTTAGCATCACCCTGTTCGGTGATTCGGCAATGTCCCATTAAACGCGAACAAGTAGACGATGAGTCGAGTGTCGGTGCACCGGCAGGCTACCACGGCACGGAATCAAATAAAGGCTGGCCACTTATGGAATTGCCCATACCCAAACACTCCCTAGACCAGAGGTCCATCCCCATAGACCGGAGGTCCTGTCTTACCTATTCTACTCCCCCATTTACTATCAGAGATTCTGGTAGCTCAATTCTTAATAATTCATTCTCTGTCTCATTTGGCCAGCCATTTTCATAGTCATATTCCACTACCAGATACTCTTGATAGTAAATTGACTCACAGAAAAATTTAAAAATTCTGTTTTGCACATCATTATTCCTACCAACCGTCCTTGGTAGCAACTTAAGAGAAATTTCCAAATACTTTTTTGTAAAAACTTTTCTGTGACTTCCAGAAAACATTTCATGCACTATGTTTATGTCTCGTAACAATCTATCATCAATTAAATACTTAAAAACATCTCCTTCATATATTCAAAATTTTAATTACAATTCATAGTTGTTTTAAGCAAGA